AGAAAAAGAGGAAGACCCCCAGTGAGATGGATTGCAAAGTGGTATCGATGGACTCAAGCGTGGCTGAGGCTGGCCCAGTATCGGGCAGTGTTTCGATGTGCTGTGCATAAGGTCGCTATGAGTCGGTACCCACTTGATGGCACCTAAAACAACAACAATGTACTGGCATTGTAGGATAAGCACTGGACTGCGAACCACAAGGTCAACAGTTCAAACCTACCAGCTGCTGCTTGGAAACCCTGTACAGGGTCACTATGAGTCAGAACTGACTCAATGGCACTTAACAGCAACAACAAAGTAAATAAAATACACTATTAAAATTTAATTTCATTAGTTTCTTTCACTTTTTAAATGTGGTTCCTAGAAAATTTTAAGTTTACATAAAAGGTAAAGTTACAAAAAAACTACATGTCTCATAAGATTTCTATTTCTCTTTCTTCTTAAACATTTTCTAAAACGATTCCCTTTTAGTTCTTCACCACCTTCTGCTTCCTTCTTGTAAAATTGAGAATCTTAATAGCACCCCTTTTTTTTTGTATAGGTTTCACATCTCCTGAAGGTATCAAACTCCATAATACTACAGGAGCGAAACTTAATAATGTACAGATCCTTTAATGGTTCCCCATCACATACAGGGAGTAAGTTCAAACTTCCTACCAGGGCTTACCCTCTACCCCCTCAGGCCACATCTCCGCCATCCTGTTCTTTTCTAAAAAGCTGCCCTGACACACAGGCAAACTCTCTCATACTTCTGCCAGGAATACTCTCTCCTCCCATCTTACTAACAATTACATGAAAGCACCACGTCCAATCATATCATTACACATTCTGCGTTTGGCTTCAGGCCTGGATCAAACACGGGAAGTTCTAGTCTGCAGAGAATCAAAGATCACATACAGTTCAAACAAAAGAGACCTTATTTTTTTGGATTATCAATTTAGAACAAGAGTTATAAAGAACAAATAGTTAACTCTGCCCCACCTCCCCACCCCGCCTTTAAAATACAAGTTATGAATAAAGATTCTAAGGAAAGAACTTACCGAAAATGCTGGATATTTGGTACTATACATGCATGCGGCACTCTGACAATCTTAGGAGTTCCTGTGGTCCCTGAAGTATACAGAATATAAGCTAAGCAATGCTTCAGCCTCACATCTATGTATTCTGACTTTTCTTCATTGCTGTTTCCAGAACACCTGCTGTTTTTCATGTTTTCTTTTCCATAGTCCTCTTTTCCATCACTTGGTGTCAAATTCAACTCAATATTCTTCCAGTGAAGTTTGAAGAGCACTAGGTCAGTATGTTCTACTGACAATGTATCATAATTCAGTAATGAGGCATAGGAAGACCTGAATTTCTATTTAAAACAGGAAAAAATTACAATATTAGTTTGTTAAAAAACATTTTAAAAAATAAACAGAATATGAGACATTCATTTACTCCTTCAATGAAGTTTTTTTTGGGGGGTACTTGCTATGCATCCAGGGATAAAAGATAAATAAGAAATCTCCAAGAATACGGTGGTTTCCTTAGTCTCAAAGTCACCTTCAGAATAAACAGGCACAACTGCAAGACAATTGTGCTCAGTAACTATGATGAAGGACAGTAGGAATGCTCATGGGAATAGGGGAAGTTGGATTTTACCTGAAAGGTCAAGGATTGCTTCACTGGCAGTATTTGAGTTAAATCTTAAAAAGTGTAAGTAGCTGTTCTCCAAATAAAGAAAAGGGGGCACTTCAGGTGACAAGAACCAGTACAGAGACTCTGACCTGAGAAAGCCAGTGTTTGTGGAAAATGCTAAGTATTCCATAACGTTGCAGTTTCAAGAACTGTAGTAGGGAGGGAGGAAGGAGAGGTAGAAGTTATGCTATTGGGAGAAGATGAGATGTTAACTCCTTAAAAACTTAGTATACTAAGAATTAAGATCTTAACTTGTATGTTACAACATCCAGTTGAAGGTGGCAACAACATAGACTAAGTAGACTTAGACTGTACTTCACAGATGATGGGTTCATAAACAAGAAGGTCAGCAGTTCGAAACTACTAGCCGTTCTGTGGGAGAAAGATGAGGCTTTCTGCTTCCATAATGATTTACAGCTTCAGAAACCCTGTGCAGGGTCACTATGAGTCGGAACCGACTCCATGGTACTTAACAACAACAACAACAACAAAGAACTATTTAATGAATCTTGAATTGCAACAATTTAGATACAATTTCTCAGATACAGGATAACCTGAACTAGTCTACTGAAAAAGAAGTGGGCAGAAATGGCTGCAAGGAAAGAACCAACAGGCTGTGGTACCTTTATAGATATGAAGTGAGCCTCAAAAGTTAGGTGGGTCTGGCTCAGGGGAGTTGTGGATGGAGACAAATGAAAAGATGCTGAATCTCACTGACACTTGCTGAAAGTGACACTCTGTTTGAATATACCTTTTTAATTATTTTTTTAAACAACTTAATGCAAGATAACTTGTTTTCACACTTATATAAAAACAGATAATATAAAATCAGCACACAGGTCACAAACAACACCCTTATTTTCTGCTTGTATGTTGTGCATGGAAGTAGCCTCTAAAATATATGTAAGCACTGGACTGCTAACCTCAAGGTCAGTGGTTTGAATTCACCAGACACTCCTTGGAAACCATATGCAGGGTCCCTAAGAGTCAGAACCCACTCTGTAGCACTTAACAACAACACAACTATCTATCTGTGTATAGATCTAACTATGGATCAACCTAGCTATGTATACGTATATTCCTATATATTCCTGTATTATGTATAGGAAAAAAATCTATTTTTAAGCAGAACCTTTTCTTTCTAGCTCACTTTAAAAGGAGGGCAAGAATCATGTCTTAGTCTTCTTTCACATGTCAATATTCTCCCACCCACCTCATGTCTGATAAAATTTTCAACCTCAATACTAGCAACACCTTGGACGGGGTAATTCTTTGTTGTATGCTGTACAATGTCTGAAAACATCTCTGGCCTCTATACCTACTAGATACCACAAGAACCTCCAACCCCATCATGATCATCAAAAATACCTCCAGACATTGCCAAGTGTCACCTGAGAGGCAAAATCACTTCTGACTGAGAACCAAAGAACCACTGCTTCAGAGACTTTTTATGGGATTTGCTATGTGCCCACCTCCTTACTATATATATGTGGTCACGATAACAATAATCAAGTCTCACACCAAACTACTTCGCTATAAAATTTTAAACCAAGGTCGTTAAGATACATGAATGCCACAATCTCATTTTAGTTTGGTTTACTTATCAACAATAAAAGTATAACAAATTTGATGATGACAAAGAAGCTTTGGCCAGATACTAATTTACGTTTATTCTTTAGGTACCTCTTTCTAGAGGCTTTAGTATCCATGACTGTCAAGGAATTCTCCTGTATACTGTAAAGTCTTAGTAATTGTTATTGCTATATGTAAGTATACCTACAATACACATAGGTGGAATGCATTTAAATTATCCTCAAATGGAAACTGGTTCATATAGACAATGGGTAAAATTGGAATCAATTCAATATACTTTTGATAACACTTTTTTCTCTTCAGTAAAGCAATTATTTTATAAGCAAGAAATAATAATGCACCATAGCCTTTATCTTGTAGAACACAAGAGTACCAACTCTTGACCTAAAGCAGTATTTCTCAGCTAGATGTTTGGTTAAGAATCACTTCAATAATAATAATTCTAGTTTTCCAGAAAGACCTAATCTAAGTGCTAGCCTCTTCTTCAAAAAATAAACCTAGGAGATCCCTGGGACCATCAAGAGAGAAAAGCAGAGAGCGGGACCCTACCCAGAGAAGCAGTGATACCAGAGATGGAGGCAGAGACGATGATGTGGAGAGATGGAGCAGCTGGGGACTCTAACCCAGAGAGGGAGAGGGGCCGTGTGCTGACAACAGGGGGCAGGCTTGCAGGGTACACCCTTTGGTTGGTTGATGATGCATGGAGGGGATTGTAACCATGGTAGTGAACCGATATATGATAGGATGAATGTAAAGCTAATGTTCTCCCATGTAAACTATCACATAATTCACAATAAAACATTAAAAAATGAAATAAAATAATGTTGCTAACTAATGAGCAGCTGAGTCTTAACCATTTTCATCGCCCAAGAACTCCACTGCCAAAAACATGAAAAGAAAAAATTTTCCAGTATAAGAAATACTTTGGGGACAAAAAAGAAAATTTACTACAATACACAATACTTTACAGACTAGAAGTTATTTTCATGTCAGAGAGCAGTGATTCTCAGTGGAGTAAGAGATGGTTTAGTGCCCCCAAAGGACATCTGGAAATTCATGGGCACTTTCAGTTATTAAAATACCGATGGGGGTGGGAGGGTGGAGTGATATTACTGCCATCTAGTAGACAGAGATCAAGGATGCTGCTAAACATTCTATAATGCACAGGATACTCTTTATAACAGCTAATAATACTGAGATTAACAACTGTAAATTTAGAAATCAACACATGGGGGAAAATTCTTCAGGTAAAAGATAAACATAACACATAAAAAAGCAATTTAAACACCTCAACTTACATCAACTTGCGTTTTTTCAACCAGGATATAGGTAAGGTTACATTTTTTCATAACATAAGTTGATAATGTTGGTGGTGAATCGGGATCAATAGGAGCATAAGCAGCAGGGACCTGGAGAATTCTAAAGAAACAAAGTAGAATCAGCATAGAATGTCTGCAGCATTTCACCTGATCAGAAAGCCCTTGTGCCTTCATTGACACATCTTTGGCTATGAATAACTTGTTAAGACTGAATATCCTGAATATATGCTTAAAATGGAGTAATTTGCATTTAACACTGAATTTCCTATTTTAAATTCTTATCACTTGAAACAGAGAAACTCAAGATTTTCCGAAGTTAATGTATTACAGTATGGTATTGTTGTAATATGCCATTGATTAGACCTTGACAGAGTCCTGGTGTGGCGCTGTAGGATAAGCACTTGACCACAAGGTCAGTTTGAATCTCAAGATTGATGGTTCAAACTCACCAACCACTCCTTGGAAACCATATACAGGGTCGCTGTAAGTTGGAACCTATCCAACAACACTTAACAAGAACAACAGCAACCCATGCACAACAGGACTGGACCACTGTAACCCTAAAGGTTTTTATTAGCTGATCTTAAGTAGATACCCAGGCCTTTCTTCTTGGTCTTAATCTGGAATCTGTTGAAACCTGTTCAGCACCACAGCAAGGAACAAGTGTCCATTGACAGATGGCTGGAAGCTGCTCATGAAGCGCACTTCCCGCCTGGAAGATGAGAATTCTACCATTAAACCACCAGTGCCTCATAATATAATGCAGTTGGTTAGCTTTCTACTACGAAAACACAACACAGGTTAAATTTCATTTATCTATGTAGGATGGACTCCTGGTGTAATGCTAAAGGATCAGTTGTTGTTGTTGTTGTTAAGTGCCATCGAGTCGGTTCCGACCCATAGCGACCCTGTACAGGGTTTCCGAGGGTGTAAATCTTTACGGGAGTACAAAGCCTCATCTTTCTCCCGCGGAGTGGCTGGTAGTTTCAAACCGCTGACCTTAAGGTTCGTAGCCCAATTCGTAACCACTACGCTACCAGATCAGTACTGGACTGCAAACCACAAGTTCGTCAGTTCAATCCACCAGCTGCTCCTCGGAAACCCTACACAGGGTCGATATGAGTCAGGACTGACTGGACAGCACTAAACAACAACAATAGAAATGTAGGATACCATAAACTAAACATCCACATGTAACTTCATGAGAATCTGCACTACAATAAAACTTCTTTCACCAAAACCAGAACACTGTAATGGGGAGAAAACAACAAACAAACTTTAATACTGATTTGTGTACAGCTAATACTTGCACAAACAAGATCAATGATCAGTTAGCCATTTTAACAAAAAGTACTTTGAGGTATACAGTGGGAAGACTACATCTTTCTACATAGTACATTTTCAATAAGTATATGCCAGTTGACTGAATAAGAATTAAACATGTAAACAGTATTTCGTTTTATACTTGAATATTCAAATAGGACACATCTTATTGGATAATAATCAAATTCTCAAATTATTTGAAAACTTTCATTTACTGCAAAACTCGAGTACAGAAATCACTACGTAAGAATATTCTAGAACAATCTAAACAACTGAACTTTGTAAACATTTCTTTGAATAAATATTTCTAAATAGTGGTTATGAATCGGGCTGTGAGCCGCAAGGTCAGTAGTTCGAAACTACCAGCTGTTCCGCGAGAGAAAGATGAGGCTTTCTGCTCCTGTAAAGATTTACAGCCTCGGAAACCCTGTGCAGAGTCGCTATGAGTCGGAACCGACTCCACGGCACAGAACAACAACAATGGATTCACACCCCAATTTAAAAGGATTATTAACAGAAACTCATTTATTTATGTACTGAATATCTGAGTGACTAAAAATCCAATGTACAGTTTTTCCAAAATATCCATTTTCTTTAAAATAATAATAGAATTTAAGATAATTTTCTTTAACAAAAAATTTAAGTTTTTATGTTTTGGAAATATTTAAATGTTCTGCAATTATTAGTTGAAACCTTTAGTTTCTTCTAAATGCTCTGTGCCATCGAGTTGGTTCAGTCTCACAGTGACCCTATACCGGGTTTCCAAGGAGCGGCTGGTGAGTTTGAACCACCTACCTTGCAATTCAAACAGATCTTATGTTTGAATGCTTACTCTACCACGTTGTACCATGACTCGCTTTTTCTTCTAAATAAGCTCAGATTCATTCATTTAAATGACTAAAAATAATATTAGTGGAAATGAAATTCCTTTAACCTGTTCAATATTGACCCAGAAATATAGAAAAAATCAAAGATAAACAAAACAGTAACTTGCAATATAGTTTAAGTATTAAATTATACAATTTACAAAAATAAAAAATATTTACCCTAAAATCCATGAGGGTAAGTTTATCCCAGGATGGCAGTAGAGGCCAATTTCCCGATTTGTTTGAAAATCACAGTGTAATTGCAGAAATTTTGATAATTCTGAAGCAGCATTAACCACAGTCTTGTAGGTGTAATAAATTGGAGGCTGGTTGTTACATTCATCAAAGCATACAGCTATTTTCTCTGAATAAAGGGAAGCAGCCTGATGTACCAATTCCTGAAGAATCATTTCACTGACGATCTAAACATCTTTGATAGCAGAAAACTCTACATATTACAGAAACATTAGGAAGAGAGGGAGTTTTTAGAGAGCTTGGGAGGGCATTGTTATGACAAATTACAACTCAATACACACATCTGTGGAGTCCTGGTGGGCACTGTGCACTGGATGTCAAGGTCAATTTGAACCGCAAGGTTGGCAGTACAAGCTCACCAGCCACTCCTCAGGAATCCTATACAGGGTCACTATGAGTTAGAACCAACTCGATGGCATTTAACAACACACATCTATACAACAGTGATATTCTGCTATTTTTAATTGCCAGTTTCTCAGTGTTTGTGACAGGTAATAAAGGCAAAACCCATTCTTGTTTCAGGTTTTATTTCTAACTTAATCATAAATACATACACTCCAATAGAGTACTATGCTTATACAGGGTCTCCACCGATTCGACTGCACATAACAATATGTAAAATTTGGTAAGCAGATGGTATATGTTATAAGATCATTAAGATATGTGCTCCAGTATTTACAATTGTTGTTGTTCAGTGCCGTCGAGTTGGTTTCCGAGGAGCGGCTGGTGCGCTTGAACCGCTGACCTTGTGATTCCAGCCGATCTTGCAGTCCAGGGCATTAACCCACAGGCCAGTGCCATAAAAATGTTACTACTTTGGGGGCTTTCTCTAGGTTATAAGGTTATTTTTAAAGGAGTAAACCATTTAGAAACGTTATTTTCCGCTCTGGTAGCATAGTTATTACAAATCGGGCTGTAATCCACAAGGTCAGCAGTTCGAAACTACCAGCCGTTTCCCGGGAGAAAAATGAGGCTTCCTGCTCCTGTAAAGATTTGCAGTCTCGGAAACCCTGTGCAGGGTCGCTATGAGTCGGAACCACGGCACACAACCACCACAACCACCTGTGTGGCGCTGTGGGTTAATGCGCCAGACTGCAAACCCATTTTTGAACTACAAGGTCGGAATCGACTCGACTCGAAGGCACAACAACAACCACCACCTGCTCCCATAAAGATTTACAGCCTCTGAAACCCTGTACAGGGTCACTATAAGTCGGAACCGACTGCACGGCACATAACAACAGCAACCTGTTTTTTAACTTACATTATGCAACTGCGATTGATAAAATGCACTATATAGTACTTTACAGCTTTAATTTTTTTTTTTTTTTTCATTTGCTGTTAGCTAGCATGCTAGGACGTAGGCGGATCAGGTTTCTTTCCATTTGATTGTGGCAGAGGATCAGAGGCAGAGGGACTCAGAGGAGGTCTCCTGTACCAGGTTTAGACATAGCTAGCACCGGCCCAGCTCATTACAAGCCCCAGTCTGAAACCCGAGGCTTGAAACTCACAGCACAACCTGTGAGAGGCCAGACTTCACCGCCGCAGACCCTGCCTCTTGCAGCGACTTATTCTGAACGTCTCGGGAGAAGTCCGCACTCATCTGGATCTTCCCCCTGAAACCCAACGCCGATTTTCCTTCTCCACTCGCTGCATTGAGAAAGCGGTACCCCAAAACCAAGAAACATTTCGTGGTACGGGTGCCCAGAAGCTGAGCGGCTCCGTCTCATACGTCAATCGTCCGCGTCGACGCATGACGTCATCTCCGTCGACAGCTACCCACACGTGCTGAAGCTGAGAAACTAATTTAGCAAACAGCCGCTGGCGGCTCTCGGCTCAGTTTGTGTCTGGACACGAAGTGTGGGACTTGGGAAAACTGACCTGATTTGGGTCCGTACCCTCTCATCTTCTCCCGTAAAGATTTGCAGCCTCGGAAACCCTGTGCAGGGTCACTATGAGTCGGAACCGACTCCACGGTACTTAACAACAGCAGCCCTCTCGTCTTAGCCATAAAAACCTGCAGTCTCCTTGTTCGTAAAATGGGTTGTTGTGAAGAAACATTAAATCATCGTGAGATGACTTGAGTGACAGACTGGCCTTAATCCATCTACATTTTTGAGAGCCTGCCCCCGACTGTTAGGACAGTGACGACAGGGTGTAGATTGCAATCGAAGTCCCTGTCATAATTAAGCTATTTTAATTGGGATTTATATGCTAACTAAGAACATTTGTGCTTGAAATAGGCGCTATGAAGATAATAAAACAGGCCTGGGAGGGAGTTATGTAAACGAATAAAAACCTCTTCTACTAGTTATATTTGGAGAGAGAAGCATGTAAATTATTTAGTGTCAAAGGCAATAATCATGTTTTTGTGTGTTTTTTGAAGCCTTTTAATATGAATTGAGTGAAGGTTTATAGAGCAAGATTATCGGTTTTATAGTCAACAAATTATACAGTTGCAATCTCCTCAATGTAAAATCACTTACCCCACTTGTTTTGTTTCTTGTTTCCATTCCTCCTTTTCCAACTCTTTAGAGTTTTGTCTTTGTTAAGTGCTGTCGAGTTGGTTCCAACTCACAGCGAGCGACCCTGTCCTAGGGTTTCCAAGGAGAGGCGGGTGAGTTTGAACCACTGACCTTGTGGTCGGCTTATTCTAAAGCACCACACCATGACTCCCAAGTTTTTGTCTTTAAATGCTTTGTTGAGTTTGAGTGGTTAACCATTTCATGGTGTGCGTATCTCATTGTTGTCTCTGCTATATATATATCTATCTGCCACTTGGCTGAAAATTGAACCTTGGGATAAATTCAGTTCCAGATCTGAAGGGTGACCAAAGACTCTGTTTACCCCAGTCTCTATCTGACCAGTAAGCAGTCTCTTTTTGTGATTTTTGGATTTTGTAACCCATTTTCTCCCATTCTCTTCAGAATCTTCTAATGTGATCTATTTCAGAGCAGTTGGTCGTGGTAGCTGGGCACCATATAGCTCTGGTCTTGGGGTTGTGGAGGCTGATATGGAAGTAGTCCATTGGAATGCTTCCAAATGAGGACAATAGTTGCACCTTAGATGGCCACTCATGAGCTTTTAGATCGCGGTCACTACTCAACAAAGTGAGACAAAGAACGTTGACTTTGTGGATTATGAAGAATCATGGTTTTTAAGCTACTGAGCAGTAGTAGAAAAGGAACAACCAGCTTTATCCTATAAAAAACATATATATTATTGTGGAAGGAGTCCTGGTGATGATGTGGGGTAAGCATCTAGGTGATGATGTGGGGCTGCTGCTAGGTCAGCAATTCAAATCCGTAGACACTGTATGGGAGAAAGGAGGCCAAGTACATAAAGATTTAGTCACAGAAACCCTATATAAGGTTGCTATGAGTGGGTATCAACTTGCTGGCAGTGTACTACATGGAGCCCTGATGGTGTAGTTGGTTAAGCACTGGGCTGTTAACCAAAAGATCAGTGGTTAGAACCAACCAGCTTCTCCATGGGGGAAAGATGAGGGGTTCTGTAAGATCTGCAGCCTCAGAAACCATGTGGAGCAATTCTACTATACTATAGGATCCATAGAAGCTCTGGTAGCGTAGTGGTTATGAAACGGGCTGCGAACTGCAAGGTCAGCAGTTCGAAACTACCAGCTGTTCTGCAGGAGAAAGATGAGGCTTTCTGCTCCTGTTACAGCCTCGGAAACGGGTCGCTATGAGTTGGGACCAACTCCACGGCACACAGCCAACCAACAACATAGGATCCATGACTCACAATCAGCTCAGTGGCAGTGGATTTGGTTTTTATAGTTTACTCACACAAAGGGGTTTCAAAAAGTTTATGGAGACATTCCCTTATCTTATCATTTTTTTTTTTTTTTTTCATGAACATTTTGAAGCTCCTTTGTATAGACGTTTATTTTTTGGCCCAGGAGAAGGGCTGTGAGGGTAGCCCAGCACCAAGAACAATAGCAATTATCTAAGTAAGAGTAGAGCTCTGCGTGCCCATCAGATGTCTCCACTAGGATGTAACATAGGCTTGTTGTTAAATGCCATTGTCAGTTCCTCCATAGGGTTTCCGATAAGTGGCTGGTGAATTTGAACTGCTGACCAGGCTACTCAAGCTAAAATGGCCATTTTTGGGGGTCCCAAACTGGTACCTTGGCTTTCTTGCTATATTTGGGGATAACCCCATTCACTCAGTCAAGATACCTAGATTTCCACCCCTCAATTCCAAATCCAATTATACTTTGTCTGCCAGTTCCCAATTCCTGGGAGTCCTGGTGTAGTGCTGTAGGATAAGCACTGGACTGCCAAGTTGGTTTGAACTAAAGTTCAGTGTTTCAATCCCACTAGCTGATCCTTGGAAACCCTATACAGGGTCGTTAGGAGTAGGAACCGACCCAATGGCACTTAACAACCACCCTAATTCCTAAACCATATGAATGCTATATGAATTACCTGTTGTTGTTGTTGTTAAGTACTGTCGAGTTGGTTCTGACCCATGTTGTTGTTGTTGTTGTTAAGTGCCGTCGAGTCAGTTCCGACCCATAGTTGCCCTGTAAAGGGTTTCCGAGGAGCAGTTGGTGAGCTTGAACAGCCCACCTTGCAGTTCAAACGGCTTTGCAGTCTGGCGCATTAACCCACAGCACCACACCAGGACTCCATGAAAATTACCTAGGGTGATTCAATTCCTCGATGTTCTAAATTAGTTTTCTAGTGAAAAATGCCTAGAATATGCATTTTTAAATTGATCTCATCTGCATCTCCAATTAATGCTTTATTCAAGTCTTCTTGGTCAGCCTTCTGAACTAAGGAATTCTTATATCTCCTCAGTAGTGCCTGGCTCCAACTGACTCTGAATTGTTTCATTATTGCAATGTCATCTCTAAAGTCCCCTGTTGGGTGCTTTCCACTAGGCCCTATATGACAAAGTAGCACTGCCCCAAAGGATTTTTTTTGGGGTGGGGAGAGGGGATTTAATCTTTAGTCTGGAGTCTTGATGTGGCGCTGTAGGATAAGCACTAGGCTGGAAGGTCAGCTTGAACCACAAGGTCAGCGGTTCTACCTCACCAGCTGCTCCTCGGAAACAACATAGGGTCGCTATGAGTTGGAACCCACTCGATGGCACTTCACAATCTTTAGTCTGCTTCCATCAAGATAACACT